CACTTAATCTTTGCAAAACCTCTATTTTGTAGGTGAGGAAACTGAAGTTCAGAGAGGTTAAGTAACTAACTGAAGGGTATCCAGTGAACACGCTTATTAATTTGGTGGCTTTCATATTTCATGTCCTCCTCTACAAGGGAGTAAGCTCTGGAGGGCAAGGTCTCTTCTGTTTTATTCTTTGCAGTACCTCTTTGCTCAGTCTGGCCCACAGAAGGTGCTCAGTCAACATTTGCTGAATACAAGTACATGTGAATGAATGAGTGAGTGAATGAATGAACGAATGAGCAGAGCTAGGACTCATTCCCAGGTCTGGTCAACCTCCCATCCCATGCTTTCCCCACTATACCACAGAAAATAGCTGTTCCTTTTTCACTCTGTGGTATAAGTAGCTGGATGCGACTATAATTTAACTCTTTAATTGCTCTGGCAGATATGAAGAGTGTTTGAATTAGCAGAAAGTTTAGTGAGTTTAAAATAAACATCTGATTACAGCTTAGGTAGCAGATAAAGTATGAAGCAAAAGAGAATTTTGCAGAGAAGCCTTTTTTAAAAAGTCGCACAATGAGGGAAATATGCAAAGAGTAAATAAAAGGAAAGATAGTATTGGATAAAAGTTGTTTTTTCATAAGTGTGTTCTGGGTTAGAGTCACTGGAGTCTTTAGCTCCTGACCTATAGTAGATGCTGAGTAAATATAACTGACTGACTGCCTAACTGATGCCTAATAAGTACTTTCAGATGATGATGAAGATAAGTGCAAATTAGAAGTTCTTTAGAGGAAAATAATAATAGTAATTATTTTCAGTGGGGTAAAACACTGCATAGCATAAATATAAGTTTTGCTGTTGTATAAATTACAAGTTCCTGGTGAACCTTTCATGGGATATGATAAAAAGCCAGCAACTATAGAATCAGAAATCATGGAACTTTCCTGCCTACCTCCTCTCGCAATCTCTCAATAGCATTTAGATGGAAGAAACCTCACCTTTCTTGAGAAAGTGAGTATCCTAATACCTTATAATTCTCTGCCCTTCTGCTGCCCTCATTTTTTCCGTGTGGTTACTAAAGGTGAAATTTAAAGCCCCATTTGAGTCAGTGCATGTTAAAAATGATGTCAGAGGGAAAGGCACAGACGAAAGCCAGCCCTAAAGATGAGGCGTTTATTTGAAACGGTTATCAGAAGACAAATTCAGCACATAAAATGCAAACCTACCCCACACCTGCCCCCAGTAAAGTGGATGGAGATTTCCAACTTCTCCCCAGGTTTCAGGTTCAGAAGCTCTGAGGCACTGGCCTTGGTCTGGTCTCTTCTCTCTCCTCTCCCCTTTGTCCAAATTGGATTGAAGTTTTTTTCCTCTGCCTTTGAATTAGTATGCAATGGGCTTGATGAAAGAGTTACAAATCTTACCTGAAGGTTCTTGAAGTACAAGAAGAATGTTTTCTTGGCTTTTGGTTATTGAACACCAGTGGTGCTATTTTTGGTATCTAAGCCCAGAGGCAAGCGAGATAAGAGCAAAATGAAGAGGAAATCATGGTATAAAACATTTATAGGAGAACCCTGGCTTTCAAGAAGCCATTCCTTTCAAAACTAGTGGAATTTCTATTCAGAACAATCTCTCTGTCTCTGTCTGTCTCTCTTTCTCCTTCTCCTCTCCTGGCTGTCTCTCACACAAATTTCAGTCCTAAGAAGGCAGGGCAGTAGGTATTGAGAGGACACCACCATATTTTTCTTCAGAGTCATATGCTGCCATGTTTGTTGGTCATGCAAATACATTATTTTTTTGGAACATAGTTATTCATGGTAGAAACCATCAGATTAACTCGAATAATATACTCACAAACCTATTTTGTTTTAGTCTTAATGACTCAGAAACAAATATCCAAAGTCCTTCATAAGAAACATCTTATCAAAGATTGAGGATTGTTGAATGACCAAGTGTTGTATACTCTTAATATTAAGCAATCTCAATTAACACTTCATTTCTAATGCCAGAAAACCCTGGTAATTTTCATTGAAACTTAAGTTTCTTATCCCAGTCCTGATGTAATTCTTCCTTTGTTAAGATTCACTATTTAACCCAGCTATCCAACGACCTTTCTGCCATGATGGAAATGTCCTGTATCTGCACTGTCCAAAATGGTGGCCTCTAGCCCCAGGTGGTCATTGAGCACAGCTATTGCACTGATGAGGAATGTGAAGCCCAGGGGGTTACGTGACTTACAAGGGACCACATTGGCAGTTAGTGACAGAACCTGAATGAATCTCCTAGCTCTTTCTAGGATGCCATGCTGCCTCATGTTTAGATTTCATTTGGGTGGGAAAAATGAGGAGCGATTTCAGAAAGGGAGACGTAATTTTTGCATCTAATGACTGAGTGTGTGTATGGGAATAACGTTACTTTCTCTGGCCTTGCATAGAAATTCAGTTATGCTAAATAGCGGGACTGCGGGATGTGGGCTCCGAGCAGAAATCAACAGAACAAATCATTAGGCCCTGTCACTGTCAGCCTCAGGCTGCTCAGAACAGATCTTAAAATTGTGTTCTATGTTTATTATTTATTCATTCACTTGCTGAACACCTATGATGGTCCAGGTAGAGTAGGTGTTGGCGGGAGGTCGGGGGTGTAATGAAAATGGATAAAAACAGTTGAAGCGTTCAGCGCCTACAAGGAGGACAGATGGCCAACCACTTCAGTCCAATGCTGGCCTTCTGCACTACGTTGTTTCCGGGGGGCACAGGCCCAAGAGAGTTTCAGGTTATCTTTCAGTGCATGGGGTGGTTAGGGTGATCATGGGCTCTGGAGGCCAGCTCTGGGCTCATATTCAGTGCTTCACTTACTAGCTCTGTGACCTTGGGCAAATTACTGAATCTGTTTTAGCCTTATCTTTTAGACGGAGCTAATACCACCATCCCACACTGCTGTTGTTGTTGCTAAGGTTACATAAAATAAAGCACTTAAAGCACTTGGCATCCTGCCTCATTCATAGTGAACGCTCATTAGGTGTTAGAGCTCACCACTACTACTGGTGTCGTTATTATTATTATTATTATTAGGGATAAAAAGGAGCCCCGTGAGGCATAATTATCTTCATTTTGCACACAAGGAATCTGAGGCTCAGGGAGATTAAGCAGCCAAAGTGACAGTGATAAAAAGGGGCAGGATCAAAATTTGAGGCAGGTCAGAGCTGGCAGCTCTCAGGAGGAAGAACTCACCTCTGGGCCCCAGAAGAAAGGGCTGCCTTCAGCAGGAGTGCTGGGGCTCCTGGAGGAGTTCAAGCCGAGGCCCCTGAGCAGCAGAGGCTTTAGAGGGGGAAAGTCAGGTCTGATTAGAAGCCTTGGAGGAGTACCACCCAACCTTGCCACGCCTGTGGCATAATTCTCAGCAGTCTTCTGAACTAGCATTTGTTGTCCTGGAAATATGCACATTCAAGATCAACTGAAACTTTAGATCAAACAAACAATACTCTTCCCAGCACCTGTTTTGTGCTAGATTATGGGGTAAGTGAAAGAGCTATCGAGCTAATGTTCCTGTCCATCATTCCATTGTCTGTCTGTCTATCCATCCATCCGTCTATCTATCCATTCATATCACAAACATCAGATACCTGCTGTGTGCTAGACATCAACTTGAAGGTGCTTTTCTTCCTTACACCTTATTTTCCCAGTGTTCTCAATTCAAGAATTGTGAGTGGTGAGTGAGGCCTCAGGTACACATTGGTGGGTGCGGTTAGAAGAGGAAATAGGAAGTGGTGAGTGAGGCAAGAGGTGCACATTGGTGGGTGCAGTTAGAAGAGGAAACACTTCTGGCAGAAGGTTCCACCACTCAGCTTAGCAGCGGGGTGAAGACTGCGGAGTGAAGGCAACTCGCAGCCTTGAGAGGGACATGAAATGACACGCATGAAGCGCAGGGTGCTTGATGCTCTAGAGCACGCCTGTATGCATATGTGGGAGCAGTGACTGCTTTATGCCGTTTATATAGCTCCAGCCACTAGCATGGTGACTGGGACACACCAAGGAACCAAATGATTCGGGTTTTGTTTTGGTAAATTAAAAAGAGATGTCTGTTGGAAGTGGCAATAGAAGCGTCTAAAGCGACCGGGGGGAGTCAACCGAAGCACGTCTGAGTTGGAAGGAGAGAGGGGAGGAGTTTTCAGATGGGTAGCGGTATTTGCAAGCGGAGGCTCTGCCTGGGTAAAGGAGGGTGGGTGCTGCGAGAAGGGCGTGTTCAGGTGAGCAGGACTCCTGCAGCAGGAAATGGGTGCACTCCAGGTCCCGCGCTGGGTGTCCGGGGGCATCGTGGCGAGGCTGCCCTGCTGGCCCAATCGGGAGAGCGTCCAGAACCCCAGGCTTAGCTATAGGTAAAATACCCAGCCGGACCCCACCAGACGCCTGGCCGCGCGCTCGGCTCTGCTGCTGCGGGTAAGCATGTTCAAGGAAGCGCTGCCATTCCCGCGGCTCCATCGGCAAGTCGCGGCCGGGGAGCAGGGGAGGCCGCAACAGGTTCCGCGGGCACCCGGGGCCCTGATCGCGCGCCTCCAGGGCTGGCGCCACTCCTGGCCCGCCGCGTCCCGGAGTCTGGCCGGCGCGGGGCAGGGGGCGGCCTCTCTCCGGAAGCCGTCCCGGTGGTCCCCGAAGCCAGCTCATAAATCATTCATGAGCCGGGGCCCGGGGAGAGGGGCTGCGAGAGGAGGGGGCGGCGGCGGCAAGGGTCGAGGCGGGAGCTGGAGCCCAGCGCGCGGTGAGTAGCCGCGTCCTCATCCCGGAGCCCAAGAGGCGACTGCGGACCCGGCGGGGGACTGAGCGCACCCCCTTTCAGACAGCTGGGAGAGGGGAATGGGGAATGGAGGGGCTCGATCTGCGCCCCTCTCCTTCCAACCCTCGGTGTCTCCTCCCTGGCCCCGCGGCAGGTGGTACAAGCCCGGAGAGCGGCGAGGAGGCCGGAGGGGCCGCAGGGCGGGCGAGGTGGTCCGGGCGCCCCGCTAGCGGGAGTTCCGGGCAGGGCGGGGACGGGCGCAAACTTCGCCGGCTGCCTGGTGGCCTCTTGGTGGGTCTTCTTTCCATCCACTGGAGGGGAGCCGACGGCTGTGTCTCGCCAGGCTTCGGGGGTGCGAGCAGACGGTGGGAGGAGAACGGTACCCGGACCCCCGAGGCCACAGGCTCGCTCTCTGGGAGAGCGGCGGACCGAGGGGAGGTTCGTCAGGGGCTTGGGAACTGTTCTGCGGTGAGGAGAGTGCTGGAGTGGCACCTGGGGCGCGGAGCACCGAGCCACCCCAGCTGAGTATGGAAAGGGGTCACCTGGTTTGCGAAATGGAGTACGCGGCGCAACCAATCACAGCAGGAGGGGGGCCCTGGGGGTGCAATGGGAGACCGTCTCCCTGAGTCCATGGGGGAGCGCACGCACCCCTGGCTCGAAGCATCTCCTTGCCCCCTTTGGGTGCACAGCGCAGGGACCTTCCGCGATTGCTGGATCAAGAACTGGGTGCTCGGGGCGCACCCGCCAGTACGGCGCCAGCCAGGACAACAAAGGGAAGCGTGGACAGAGGAAGAGTTTCGCGGTTCAGGAGAGTCGGGGCCCGAGGTCAGTTTCCCCGAAAGCCCGCGCCCAGAGGGGCAGGGGATCGGATTGGCGGGAAGACACCACTCTGGACCCCCTTCTCCCTTGCGGCCCCCGAACCACGTCCACACGGCCCGCGGCGGGGAACCCGCGCCGACACGCTCTGGGCAGCCAAGTTACTCCGGCAACCCCCTCCCCCAGGCGGCGGCGGATTCCTCGAGTCTCCAGGCTTCCTGCGCCCGCCCCGCCGCCCATTCTTTTGTGTTCGGCAGCCCGGGAGAGGCTCCTGCCGAGGAGGCAGCGAGGGCAGGAGGGGCCGGCCTGGCGGTGGGTTGGAGGGACAGGCTAGGGGAAGCCGGCGCCCAAGCTTCCTGCAGCAACAGGTTGCGCCTGTAGCCCGTGGCAGCTACTAACCCTTCTTCTGCCGCTGCTCGAGAAAGGTCTCCTGGATAAGCAGGTGTGTGGTTGGGGTCCTTGAACGCCTCCGTACCCCCACCCCCTCGCCCCAACAGAGACCCACTGGAGACTCAAACAGCTGCGGGTATGTTAGATTGAACCATATGAAATTGCCGTTTTTGTGGCTCAAAGACTGCAATATGGGCACCTTTTTACGATACAGCTTGTGTGAAGTTATCACTTCTCTTTCTTTTCTCACTCATTCGTGAGTTTCCTCTTTCAACATCCTCGGAGCAGTCCTGTCTGTCAGTTGAGCCTAGGGGCCACGGTGGAGTTTAGAGTATTGATACTGCAGTGGCGGGACAGACCCTTTATCGACCACCAGCTGTGTGCTACGTGCTGTACCTATCCGATCTCTAAGCCTCCAGCGCGATTGGAAACCCCAGTTTACCGATGACCAAAGGAAGGGGGGAGAGTGGAAGCAACTGCTCACTGTCACTGAGTTAATAAATGGGACTAGACACTCTGCCCTGTCTCAAAGCCTGGAATGTTGTCACTTCAGCAGTGCCCTTTAGTTTAGTTTTGTTTTCTTAATGTCTCATACTTTTTTTTATGAACTTCCTTGATTTCCATCCTGGACTATTCCTGTGAGTCCTAGTGCAGTGAAGTAAATAAGTGCATCAAACAACAGGTTGAAAATAAGAAAACTTTAAACCAAATATTGTTTTGTTGGTACTGTTTAAAATATGAAAGAAATAGGTTTCCAGGGGGCCAAGAGCTACCTCTGAGATATGTTAAGGGTCAGGATGCTTTGTTACAATGCCAGAAGCCAACTCTGGGTAATTTCGTCAGAAAGGGACTGGGTACTGGGTGGCTTAGAGAAGTGACAGGAAGCCTGGGAAGCCAGGATCAGGAGCCCAGGGGAGCGGGACTCAGGATCTGCAACAGGACCCCTGGTTGGTGTATGGCCATGGTTGCCACTGTGCGACTCTGGATGTGGTTGCTGGCACTGCCGCCATCATTGCTAGAATGAATTGGAAATTGCCTCTGCTCCAGTGTCACTCCTTGCTCAAGCCGGGGAGTAAGCATCTGATTGGCTGAGCTTGGCTCACCCCCCAGGGCACAGTTTGGGCACCTTAGCTGGCCTCAAAATGAGAGGCAGGGCTACAGTCCACAGGCCTCACAAAGGTAGCTCAGAAATTGGGCAGCTCCCATCACGCCCTTCTACCCCCAAGAATAGCCCAGATGACAAACATCACTACAAAGATCTCTTTAAAAGAAGTTCCATCAAAAGACGAGAAGAAATGAAGCTGGATGGTCACCGTATTTGCTTTTAAACCACTGTTGGTGGAAGTGCTATTCTCTGGATTCCAGGCTCAGAATCATGTGAGGTATTTGATTAAAATTCAATCTCTTTGGCCCCTTTCCCAGTTTGAATTCAGTGCATTTGGAGTGGAAACCAGGAATCTGTGCCCCATAAACCAGAAAAATGGTGTGACGATCTTATTGATTAGTCTAGTCCCTGTGTAAAGAGATAGCCCTTGAGGGAGCATTTTCCAAAGCCTGCAAAGTTGAGGGTCCCGGCAGAAGGTATGGCCCCCAGAATGGTTGACCAGTTGTTCCGCGGTGGGTAAATCTGGAAGACAGTCTGCTGCTTGTGTTGGAGGAAACAGCTATGAGCAATCCAACACCTCCCTTCCGGAGGCTATAGGACTGCTAATAGATGCTGACACAATTTTGAAATAGGTAAAAATGACTATTTTGTGTCAGCCCTCCCTCTACCCCCCACCGTTTGATTTCAGCAATCTTTATTGCTTGCCTACTATCTGCCAGGCTCTAGGGGTACAGACGTGAGTTAATCAGAGACCTCACACAGCGGCTGGAATAGATCAGTTCAATGCAATATAAGAAAGGTATTTGGGGGACTTTTCGTTATGTCTGTTGTCCTGCAGTTGTGTTTGGGAAGCCGAATGTGCTTTTGGAAGGTGGCTGATTCAGCCAGGTGGGTGGGTACTCAGAAACAATGCTGGCTCTCAAACTTCAGTTGTCTTAAGAATCAGTAATGGGAGGGAGAGTGTTAAAAATGCAGGTTAATGGGCCTCATCCCCAGAAATTAGGTCCGATAATCTGCATTTTGAGTAAACACCCCATTTTATGTTGATGCAGCTGTTGGTCCGGGAAGGCTTTCCTGGGTTCTGTGCTGGCAGTTCTGGGAGCGGCTCTCAGTCCCTCTTGCTCCCCAGTGGGGTTTCAGACGTAAGGGCCTAGACCTTTTCTTTTGGCACAGCCAATTAAAACTGAGATGAAAAACTCCTTTTTGACTTATCAATTGTCTAGTTTTCATAAGTAGTGAGATTTTAATGTTTTTTTAAAATTTACTCTAAAATTTATGAGGGACCTACACTTTGGAGCAAGATGTAAAGGAATCCAGACAGCAGCTCCGAGCACTCACTCGGCGGACACTCCATTTCCGCAGCAGTGAGAAGTAGCGCTGCCTTTCATTTGGGATTTCCCTTCCTCGCCTTCTCGCTGAGGGAGTTTGGAGGTCTGTTTATCCCAGCTCTGCCAGGGGCCTCCTGCCGTTTCTCCCCTGCTGTGTTTCTCTCTATCCCTGGCTGAGGCTGGTGGCATTACCAGGAAGTCAGCCTTTCTTAGCAGCTGAGCCTTTAATCCCTCCAGCTGCTGTGCTCCCTGCCTGCCTGTTAGCAAAAAACAAGACAAGATGTGAGTGTGGTGTGTGTAGGTGTTGTGTGTGTATATGTTGTGTGTATGCATGGTGTGTGTTAGTGTGGGTGGTGTGTGTATGTATGGTATGTATATGTGTAGTGTGTCAGTGTGTGGTATATATGTACATCGCATGTGTTAGTGTGTGTTGTATGTGTGTGGTGTGTGTGTGTGGTGTGTGTTAGTGTTTGTAGTGTGTGTATGTGTAGTGTGGCAGTTTGGTGTATATGTACATATGTTAGTGTGTGTTGTATGTATGTGTGGTGTGTGTATGTGTGGTGGGTTAGTGTGTGTGGTGTGTGTATGTATAGTGTCAGTGTGTGGTACATATGTACATGGCATGTGTTAATGTAATATGTGTGTGGTGTGCATATGTGTGGTGTGAGTGTGTGTGGTGGGTGTTAGTATGTGTAGTGTATGTCAGTGTGTGGTGTATATGTACACGTGTTAGTGTGTGTTGTGTGTATGTGTGATGTGTGGTATATGTTAGTGTGTGTGTGTTGTGTGTGATGTGCGTGTGCATGCCTCTCTGCCTGCTTAAAGGAGAGTGGTCCTATCCTACCTGAATAACCGCACACCGTCTCCTTTCATATCTTCCTCCTACCCTGTGCAGCCATGGAGACTTCCAGAGAGGGTCCTTGCAGAAGCTAACTGGCTTTGTTTCCTTCTCATTTGTTCTCTCTGGGAGCGGTATGAAGACTGAGCAGAGTGGGCCTATGTTTGAATGTGCACAATGGTGATTCCTGTTAGAACCAGTGACAGACTAGAGCACTTCAGAGCCTGAGGACGGGGTGTTTGCAGCAGCCACGCCTGGCAGGGAGATCACCCTTTGGAAACACATACCAGGGTCCTGGTGTATCTGTGGGTGAGATGGAGAGCCGACCTGGAAGCTGGGGGTTAACGAGGTTGGCACTGGGGGCCATTGGGGATCCAAGCAGCCCATGATTTGATAAAGGGAGAGTGTAGGGTCATTCTGTTGGTAGCTAGGTGCAGAGGTAATTGGAGTGGGACGGGACTTAGAAGATGAGGCAATATCTAAGGGGATTAGAGATGAATTAACATCTTCATTCAAAGAGCTCATGCAGTCCCACCTCTTGTCTGGAGCTTTCTTTTACTTGGTGGAATGTAGGTAGAGGGTCCTCTGGCCCCTTGTACAATGTGTCACTTTCTTGAGGATCCCCCCTGCCCCACCTCATAATGTGTTTCAGGAGCACCCTGTCCTGATTTTGAAAGTTAGCAAGGGTATATCTAACGTGCAAAATAAAATCAGGATGTTCCTGACCCGGGAACAGAGAGGCCAGGTGGAGCGTCCCAGTTCCTCTGGTAGGTTCTGTTTTGATTCATCCAGTGCTATGCAGTGGCATAAGCAAAGCAGGTACTTTGGCTTATTCAGTTGTATATTCAGCAGCACTTCCTGAGCCCTGACTGCGTGCCCAGCCTCGTGTCCAGTTCTGGGGATAGAAACACGAGGAGGACAGGGTCCACCTTGGAGGTGGTCTTGGTCCCTTGCCCTCACTGGACACTGGGTTGGTAGCTGCTTTTAGGATTGCTGTTTCTTTCTCCCTCTCCCCAGGGGTGGGCAGGAGTCTTCCTCTGCCCTGCCAATCATCGCTGCGACCCCTAGTTGTCCAGGTGGTGCCTTGGGGGCTAAGGTTTCCGTCAGCATTACCTGGTGAGTGAGTTAGAAAGACAGATTCCAGGGTCACCGGCCTTGAAGAGTTTAGTCCCTGCTCGAGGCCATGCTCTTCTACCTTGGGTTGGGGGTGAGTGGGGAAGGGGATGTGTGAAATAAGGTCAGTGAGCAAACAAGTAGAATAAAAGGCCGAGGAAGACATATCTCCAGAGACAGGGACAACAATACAAACTTGGAGAAAAAATAACCGTATAGTCTATTGCTGGGGGCTTCTGAGCCTCTGCCTGGAGCCTGAGAGGGAGGACTCTGCAGGGAGAGTGTCTTGGTGTCGTGGTTAGAACTTGGAATCTGAAGGCAAACCACTGGGCTTGAATTCTAGCCCAGTGATCTTGGGCAAGTCACCGAAATCCTCTCTGCGCCAGTTTCCTCATCTGTAAAATGGGGTAATGCCTTAAACAGGGTCCTACCTGTACAGCATGTAGAACAGTGTCTAGAGAACAGTAAGTGCTTAATAAATGCTAGTTTCTAAGACCACACAGCTTTCTCTACACCATAAGGGTGTTTCCTGAATCCACGCAGGGTCTGCGTTCTGAGTCCAGCCCCTTGCGGAGGGACCTTCTCACTGTCACACCCCTGCCGCTCTGAGGCAGGCTCTGTGTTTGCTTCCCACCTGCTGGATTAGGCTGAAGGGCTTGCTCGAAAGCTCTGCAGGCTCCTTTCCAGGGAAGCTCCTGGAGCACGCAGGCTGCATGCGTGAGTGACCGCTGCCCCTTCTCTCCTTGCCAGGGATGCTGTGCCTTGAGCCGTGGACCCGCCTGGAGAAAGCTCTTTGACACCCTTCGCCGCATGCCGGCCCGGCCAGAAGACAGGACTCAGCAGCCCCGGTCCTGCCCGCGCCTCTTCTGCACAGAAACACTCGCTCCTATTACCCAAGGCTTCCAGAAGCTCTGAGGCGGAGGCCCCCAGTGCTACCTCATGTTTGGGGGCTCTTGCTAGCTATGGCCCTTCTGCTCTGCTTCCTGCTGCTGCTGGGGCTGTGTGGGAATACCATTTCAGAGGAACCCCCATCAACCACAAAGAGCCCCAATGTTTTGGAATTTGAATTGCCTGCGATGAACTATGAGACCAAAGACTCGTATGAAGCTGGACCCACTGGCGTTCTCTTTCAAATGGTGAATGTCTTTCTCCACGTAGTGCAGCCGAATCCTTTCCCTGAAGGTAAGTGCTGATTGTGGGAAAAGCTAGAATGTGTCTCCAAACACACTCATGTGCATGCACACAATATTGTTTGTTAATGACAATACAATCAATATATAGTATATTCAGTATTTTAAAGTATGAAGTTCAAAGTGATTCAACTGCCCAGGGGCAGAAAGTGTTTAGATAGAAGTTAAGAAAACTTGTACCAGGTTAAATAGGTAGTCAGGGATGTGACTGTAAGACAAGAAATCAAACTATGTTGCTATGTTTTCCAATTCTTTATCCTTCTTCTCTCCCTCTTTTTTTTTTTTGGTTAGAGCAATGAATTATTCGCAGGCACACACCAAAGGTAAAAATTAGGGTAAAAATGAAAATTCTCTGTCATCAAATGAGAAGTTAATAATTACCTCTCATAGCTATGCTAGCACTTAAAAATTTGACTCTCTTCCACCCACCACAAAATGCAACTTTGAAAATTGCTGAGGGCAAGGACAGGCCTGACCAAACTTGTTCCCCTGAGTGACTGCTTGCTGCAGTTCTAAGAGTTTGAGTGTGAGCAAAGGAGGGATGGCCCCTTGTCGGAACTTCCATGGCATCCTGCTATTATTCTTTCTACATACTACTACTTGGCTGCTTCAGCCTTCTTACCATTGTTGACCCTTCTCATCTGTACTCTGGAGTCTTCAGGGTATGTGTTTTCAGGAACCAGATTATGGCAATTAAAATGGTCTGTGGTAAGTGTCCGCTGCTAGGGCTTGGCAGTCTAATTTTTATTGGCTTAATGTTAGATCTATCCTAGGCTTGTTCTTTAAACCCAAACGATTTGAATACTATCATTGATTACTAAAAATTATAAAATCTGTGGTAATCTTTATCATCTTTCTTAGCTGGTCAGCTCATTCATAAGAGGCTTATTTGTGTGTGTGTGCGTGTGTGCGTGTGTGTGTGTAACAGAGAGACAGAGAGAAAGAATGTATTTAGTGAACGTCAGCACTTGTTTATATTATGGGAAATTTATAGCTTTTCATTAAAATAACATTTATATTGACTTTTTTTTTACATTTATTTGTCTTAGATTAAGCAACTGAAACAGTTTGAAGTGTAGTTCTCAATTTTCTATTAGTTTAAATTTCAATTCGGTGAAATAAATCCCTCTGAGCCCTATTGTCATTGAAGAGAGTCCCAAACAGACACTGCTTACTGCCTGTGTCATTGCTTAAAAGACTAAATTTGGAAATCCAAAGGGCAGAAGTAGAAAATAAGCTTAGTTTATTTATTAATGTTGAGTACAAATTCACTGTTCTCAGTAGACACATCTTCGTTTATTTGTAGACTTGATGTAAATATTGTTGCATAAACAAATACCTACTAGTGTTTCTATTAGTGTTGGCTTCTTTTTTTATGTAAAAGGCATAACATTCAGTTTTTAATATGAATTTATGATGGCTTCTTCAAAAAGATTGTGAAGCATCCATGTGTCATTCTAGGCATCTCATGTAATTAGTTAATCCTATAATCTCTTTCCATATGTTGTTTAATTTTGCTTCCTCTAGATTTCAGAGGAAGGCATCCTCATACTTATTTTACAAGGGAAAGCTATTATTTTTAAAAGTTTTCATTCAAACGATCAGGTAAAGACATCCTACTTCCAGTGCATTCTAAGGTTTTGAATTCCAACGTCATCTTTAGCCTAGAAGGAGGCGTCTGAAGAATTTAAATCCTAATGTAATCTGAGGGTGTTAGCCTTGCTTGTTCCTTGACCTTCATCCATACTTATTACTTCGGAGAAAGAGATGCCCGCAAGTTCCAGCAGTAGACCAGAGCAGACCAGCACTACCCCTTTAAAAAAGATTGCTAGGTTGCTTAAAGAATATAATATTAAATTTAGCAGGTGACGTCTTGGAGTGTTGGTTTTCCTCCACCATCCCATTATTTATATGCTTTCATCCAGTCACTAGATTTCATAATATTCTCAGTGCCCATTAGGTGCTTTGCAACATAAAGGACACATGTGAGACAATCATGGTTTTTCCATTGCGGGCCAGTGCATTTCATGAGCACCAAACCATAGGCAGATGTCTTCATAATTGAAGATGCAAAAAAAAAGAGATGGATTCCTATTCGTTAGCTTAACTAAATACGTTAACTAAAGCAGATGACTTCAGGGCGAGTCCTCTATGAAGTAACATCTTCACAGAAGATATTATCTCGTAGGGATATTCTTTCATGTCAAAGGGTTTTGAATACAAAGTCCCAGTGCAGGAGCGGGAGAGCAGGGAGGGCCTGAAGCCTGGGCTCCCTCTTTCCATGCCACCGGACTTGGGAGTTTTCCACTTTTACATCCTGTGTCCAACCAAAATGGTATACTAAATTTTGCATTTGGAACTCTCTAAAGAGAAGCCCATTCTGTATCCTCATAAGTACAAGATGGAAAGGTCTTGTTTAGCTGGGACTTCAGACAAAGGCCTACTTCCTGGGCACAAGAAAAGATTAGCTTAGATCAGACCAGGTAACTGTGCGCCGCGGCAGAACGTGCTCTAGATCCTGGTGTGGGTACTTCACAAACACCCACCCTGGTCTGGAGCTGCAAGAGTGATGCAGTGTGCTGGGCCAGCACTCACTAAGAAGGGAGCCATGGCTTATGTTTGGGAGGAGTCGTTTGTCCATTTGTTCAACTTAGAAAGGGCACGGATGGCAGCATGACCAGGGAGAGTTGAGGGAAGGGTGTTTCAGGCAGAGGGAATGGCATGTCCGAGGACTGGAGGAGGCAGTGGTTCATGGTGGGCCCATGAGGTGGCTATTCAAGTCTGCCCAGGTCAGGGATCCGGAGCTGGAGGCCCCTGACTGGCAGGCCTGGGAGTTTTGTAGAGGGAAGGAAGCTGAGGCAGTATGAGCACAGGTTTAGTGCATTCGACAAGCATTTATTGAAGGGCCCTGCTTTCTGTGGCGCACCTTGCTGGGTGCTGTGAGCCAGGGTGGAAGTGGAATTGGGTGTTAGGAAAAGAATCTGGCAGCAGCTGGTAGGAGAGGTCGAAGGGAGGTGGAGGGTCCTGCAGTGGCCCAGAGGGAGGTGGTAACGACCTTACTTAGAACGAGGCAGAGGTAATGGGAGGAAATGGAGGCAGGGTCCATTTTATGGATTTCATTTCAAAGGACTTGGTTCAAATCCTAGCTCTTGCCTATCACCTGCTGGGGGACTTGGCCAGATTGCTTAATTTTCAGAGCCTGTGGTCTGGTAGATGTATTATGACTCTAATCATAATTCACTTTATAGCTTTTATCTGTGAAGCTTAAATGAGATGATGTTTGTAAAGCCTATGTTTAAAACTATCCCTGAAAGGCACAGAGAAAAATCCTCAATAAATGTGGCTGCTATTAATATCATTATTTGAGAGGAAGAAGTGACCAAATTTGATGCCAGCATTGGTATCAGGAGGGGACGTAGGAAAAAGAAGGTGACTCCAGGAGGGATCATTAAAATATCCTTGCTGCTGCTCCCTCTGGAACATTCTACATGGAGTTGGCGCCTAAGAAACACTTGCATTTCTTTTGAACTTAAGTGGGCTGTGTCTCCCTGCAAGGCCCCCAGTAGCAGAACTGGGTGGAGAAGGCAGCGCTTGGATGTAATGCTGGTTTACTGAGTGGTCTTTACTCCTCCACAAAAATATCTACATCTAATGAACTCTTGTTTTTCTGTTGCTTTGTTCTTTCCTGCTGTCCCCAGTATCTGCTGTGAAGCATACTTTGCTAAGTATCAGATCATATGATTCTCCCAGCAACCTGGGGAGGTAAATGGTGGCGGTAGATGGTGGTCTAACTTCTATTTATTATACTCCCTTTTACAGATTAGAAAACTAAGTCAGAATGAGATTGTGTGTTCAAAACACACAACTAGCCAGTGGCAGATTGAGAAACCCCTGTTTCAGGACTGGTTATTTCTCCTATATTCCACAGCTTACCTTGTGGGTAATTTATTTCCCTTTTATTTTACCGGAGTGCTTTTACAATCACCGTGGGCTATCATGAAAAACAGTAATTTTTGCACATTAAAAGCGTGAGTTGTGGAAGATTATCTGGTTTGGCTGGTGAGCAGTGCCTTTTTGAATTTTATGTGTCTGTAATGGATTTGGCACAAATCATGATCCTGATCAGAGCCATTCTAATGGAGCAAGCAAAAAATGTCTCCTCTGCTTTTATTTTGATAGAAATTCTCTAAAATTATTCTTGCCCTATTTTGGTATATTTTTAAATTAGATTTTAGGATGGTTGACCTATTTCTAAGAGTGTTTTAGGCTAATCTGGTTTTCTCCTGGGATTTGGTGGGGGTGGGGGTGGGGGTGGGGCTGGGTCAGTGGCCGTGGGCAGAGGGAAGAGTGAAGCTTGGTTTCCGTGGAATCTGAGATGCCATCAGCGTGTTAAGTGAGAGCTCTCTCTATTGCAGCTAACAGAAACCTATTAGGTAAGGGAATCAAGAAAAGGAGTTTATCATCAGGACTCCAGGTCATCTCATGGCACCTGGTGAGGGGTCAGCCACCGGGGAATAGACCTCGCTCTCTGCCTCCCATCTTGGCTCCTCTCTGCATGGAGCCCCTTCATTCCTCCTCCTCCCCATCCCCCCGTCAGGGTTCCTCCACTCCCGCAGTCCTCAGGGAGGACTTGCCAACATTATAGGTTTCAGGCTAGCTTCCTGGAGGGTGGCTGGGTGTTCAGTCCCAAGTCCCAATTCGAGTCCCACCCAGGCCAATCACCAACCATGGGCCCATTGAGTACCTGTGGCCAGGGTCACGCCTCGTGGGCCTGGCACTGTGGGCTGTCACTGTCCTCATGGCATCACAGACAAGGAGGTGCCTCCCAGGAAAGGGGCGGCTGGGCGGACAGCCCAGTAGGTGTGTCTATGCTGATATCCACGTGGAATCAGGATGTTATGTTATATCCAACACCTGCGTGTTCTTACTTAATTCAGACAAAGCCAGCACTGTTTCCTGTAGATCATGTGACTCATACTGGCAGTGTGCCTG